CTCTTGTGATGACATTGGGCCTACAAGAATGACCCAGGATAACAGCCCATCTCAAGATCCTTAAATTTGATCACACGTACAAAATCCCGTTGGCTGTGTAAGGTAACACCTTTGAAGATTTGGGCATATTTAGGGGGAGACATTAAAGTGGAAATGCCAACAGGCCCTCGGATATCATGACAAGTCTAGGAGGAGGTCAGCTCAAAACAGAAATGGTGAGAGGAAGAAGAGGGGATGGGTGCTCAGTGAGAAAGCTGAGAGGGGCACACAGGACAGAGGACTAGAGCCTGAGGAAGACCCACTCCCCTGCAGTTTTTCCACACACGATTACAAAGGGCCTACTCTAAGCCAGCAAGGGACTGGGTGCTATGGAGAACTCAGAAATGAATCAAATTCAGCCCTGGCTGGGTAGCTCAGTTGGTAAGAGCAGTGGTTGGCAAACTCATTAGTCAACAGAGCCAAATATCAACAGTACAATGATTGAAATTTCTTTTGAGAGCCAAATTTTTTCAACTTAAACTATATAGGTAGGAACATTGTTATTAACTTAATTAGGGTATTCTTAAGCTGGCCTTTGCTAAAAACTCAAGGGGCCAAAGAGCCAAATGTGGCTCGCAAGCCTCGGTTTGCCGACCACTGGGTTAGAGCATTGTCCTGATATGCTCAATCCCTGCCTGGTCAGGGCACATACAAAAATCAATCAATGAATGCATAAATAAGTGGAACAAATTGATGTTTCCCTCTCTCTTTCTCTCAAATAAATAACGTTTTAAAAAAATGAATTAAATGCAAGTGAACTCTAGAGGAGCTCACCACCAAACTGTGCACACATAAAGAACATGAGTCACATGAGTTCAATGAGTCACACATGATAGAGTCATCAAGATATGGATGAAAAGACTAGTATAAAGAATAGCTTCATGAAGTGGTGACATTGTGACCTCAATAAGAGGAGCAGTAAAGTTTCTAAAAGTAAAGGGAGTGAACCAAGGGAGTGCACCAGAGACACTGAGGGACAAGCGTCTGGAAAGAAGGGATGGTCAACGGGAGTCAAAGCTACAGCAGCTTCGAGGAGAAAACAAACCTCCATATGGCCACTGGTGTACCTTAGTGGCCTGTGAGGGTGTGAGTCCTGCCTGTTGTCCTCCCACAACTGCAGGGATGAGGAGGGGGAGGGGAGGTGTGAGGGGGGGGAGGAATCATTAGCTCCCAGGCCCCTGAATGTTCAAATCTTACCACCAGGGGGGGTTCAAGAGCCAAAGTGGACCTTCATCTTGAACCAGGTTTTTTTCCCCAGAAACAGGATGCCCTGAGGAAAGAAGGAAAGTTTTCCCCCTTCCTAGCACCACAAAGTCTGGAAGGCCTCATATCTCCATGTGATCTCTGACTCAGGGGCTTACCCAGATTTTCCCCTTCCAGCTAACGCAAAACATATTCTTTCCATTCTGTCCTTTTCCGGGTTGCCTGAAGAACTAAACAGCCTGTCACAAACACACTTTGGCTCCAACGCTATTGCACTGGAGAATGTCAGAATGGAGAGAACATCTGATCCAAAGTGCTCGTGGTACAGGTGAGGTGACTGAGGCCCAGAGAGAGCAAGAGACTTGTCCAAATAAATAAAAGGATCTGATCAAGAAGAGAGCTCAGATTCCTCACTCACACTATAAGGACCCCTTGGACTGTAGGAAATGTGATCTTTCACTAAAGCATAACACACACACACCATTGTTTCTTTTTTTTTTAAATATATTTTATTGATTTTTTACAGAGAGAGGGATAGAGAGTTAGAAACATCGATGAGAGAGAACCATCGATCAGCTGCCTCTTGCACACCCCCCACTGGGGATGTGCCCACAACCAAGGTACATGCCCTTGACCGGAATCGAACCCAGGACCTTTCAGTCCGCAGGCTGACGCTCTATCCACTGAGCCAAACTGGTTTCGGCCACCATTGTTTCTTGAGTGTAAATAATAATAGTAACATTAACACAGCCAACATTCCCTGAGCATTTCTGGGGCAGGCACTTTATTAAGCCCAGCTGTGGATTACCTTAATGAATACTCACAATTACCTTAAGACCACAGTCTGCAAAATGCGGCTCTTTGGCCCCTTGAGTGTGGCTCTTCCACAAAATGCCACAGCCTGGGCGAGTCTATTTTGAAGAAGTGGCGTTATAAAAAGTTTAAGTTTAAAAAATTTGGCTCTCAAAAAGAAATTTCAATCGTTGTACTGTTGCTATTTGGCTCTGTTGACTAATGAGCTTGCTGACCACTGCCCTAACACGTAATCTCTATTACAAGCTTAAACATTTACTAAATTCCTCCCAACTGTGCTTGTTGATGGAGGAGAGAGACAAATAGAATATAAAATGATAAAATATTTTCTTTCCTTAGACCTGTTCTCCTAAAATGGGTGAACTCTGATGTCCAGCACAATGGATCATTGTCTGCTTTTCTACCACCCACGTACCTCACATATTTCTGTGTCCCAACCATTCTCATGAACACTGGCTTGGGTAAAACATTACCACAATTCCTCTGCTTCACTGGTCTTGGCATTGGGCAACCCCATTTTCTCTGCTCCCTCCTCCTCCTCCTTTGTTTCCAGGCTCACCCACTACTGGTAGTTTCCGGGCACAGCCATCGGCCTGTGGTTTCATGCTCTGAGCCTTTACAAAAATTCCCTCTGCCTTGAATTCCCTTCTGGATTTGCTGCATGAGAGTCAGTTGCTGCATGTCCCCTGCACTGGGAAGCCTCTCTCCAGATTCAGGCAGAGTTGGGGACACAACCTGTGCCTCTACCTGTACCTGGGCAACATCACCTGGAGCAAAGACTTCATTGGCTACACATGCAGGTTGGAGGTCGTTTCATCTCAGCATACTGTACAGTAAACATAGTACGTGCTCAAGAAAAGTTAGAGGAAGCAAAAAATGAGCAAATCTGCTTTCTGTTGCTCCAGCTGCGATATCTCTTGTCCCCTCTCTGGTTTTGCTGCATTCTTTCTGGTCTCACCCAATTGCCCCACTTTAGCTCATTTCTCTATGTTTCTCACCATTCAGTTGCCTCCTAACTGATCTCTACACAGTCCTCAGCTCCTCTGTCATCTCCTGCTGCTTCTCTCTCATCACCAGGTTGTTGGTTCCCAAGTGCCACACCTCAACTTTCAGTCTAATTCGCCAAAGCTCTGAGCCAAGTCCTGAACATAGAAACAATGGTCCTTACCCTCAGTGGGACAACTGCCTGCCCCTCCTGCCCTCCTCCACCCACTACCTAAGGTACAGGTAGGGATGGAACTAAACCACACAGCCCCTTAAATCCTTTAGTGGCCCCTCACCTCAAAATGCAGAGCCCAGAACCAGGAGGCTCCTCTGCACCCTACTCTTTGCTAGGTCCCCACTTTTACCTCTCCTTACACCTCCCCACTGCTGCTCCAGCCACAGGCTTTACCCAAGATTCTCTGGACCTGCAACCACTATCCCTGTGATTCTGGAGCACTGCTTTAAGTCTGGGCGAGAGGCCCCTACTTTTAACATCCCTATTCCATCATGTCTCTCTCTCTCTCTCTCTCACGCACACATGCACACATGTGCGCACACATAGCACTCTGATCCCCTTGTCAGGCTGCCTGAATCCATCCCCAAGTGGACTCAGAGCTTCTTGGAGGGGAAAAACAGGAGCAGCTCCTTCCTGTTTCTAATAATAGGCCCCTCATAAGTAGATAGTAAAAAGTGTTTTGAATGAATAAGACTAATTTGCAGTGAAAATAAACAACTAAATAAGAGCTATGAAATGCTAACCCTGTCTTTCTGGTGGGTGAATTGTTTGCTTGTTGATATTGTCTGATGTTTCTGTAATGAGTGGTTCTTGCTTTTGTAATAATAATAATAATAATAATAGAACACTAAAGGGAACTTCATTTTGAAAAAAAAATAACAAGGGGTTTGAGGTCTTCAAAAGAAGGAGGAATTCCTCTTTTGGGTGAGAAACTAAAAAGAAATGAGAAGCCACAGAATTTCTGCAAGTGAAGAGGGGCACACGCAGAGCTGGGTGCAGGTGTGGGGTGCCAGGTGGAGCAGAGTATTCCTTTAACAGATGCAAGGTAAGAAATCACTGACTGTAGGGAGGCAGAGAGCTTCTGAGCAGAGGACAAACATGCTCCAAACTCCGCATCCGAAGCGTTAAAGAGGTAGAACTAGGCAAAGTCCTAGGGGCAAGGGCGAGGGTGCTGTGGAGAACAGGCCAGAGCTGAAGCCCGGCTACAACTCTCTCTTCCCCTATTGGGGGACCAAACCAAAAGTCCAGGAAGCGCCCCCCAGACTGCCCGATCCTCTGCCTCATTACTCTTCGGTGCCAGGGGCATTGGAGAATTACTTCCATAAATCGCCGACCTCTCTTCCCACCCGGCCCGCAGCCCCTCTAACCCCTCCTGCTCCACAGGTGGTGCCAAACACGAGCACGCTCATGAGGTGAGGTTTCCCAGGAGAGGCCCCTGGAGCAATAAAGCCGGGCTGCTTCCCTTCCAATCCAGGCCGAAACTAGAGGTGCGGACAACCGGCCTGGGGGGGGGGGGGGGGGGAAGGGGGAGGGGGAAGGCCAGTATCTACAAGGCGAGGTGAGGCTCCCCCATAACTCAGGTGGAAGCAGCAGGGGCTGGGCATCCAGAGATTTGCGGGGAGGTGGGGTGGGGAACCGGCTGAGCCGGAGACCCTGCAGGGAAAGAGGGCAGGGCGGGTCCAGGGACTGTTGGAGCCCGAATCCCGGGAACCTGGGCGGGGCGGGGCCGGGCGGGGGCGGGGGCGGGGCAGGTGGGGCCGGCGGGGGCGAGGCCCGCCGCACATGCGCACGGGGCCGGGCGCGCCGTAAGGAGTGGTACTTTTTAAAAGTGCAGCCCGGAGGCCAGCCGCTGCTACCAGCTCCTTGCTCTCGACCCAGTCCAGCCCGCTCCGGCCGCGCGCCCCCGTCCCAGTGCAGTGCAGCCCAGGCTCGTGCAGCCCTCGCCATGCCGGTCAAAGGAGGCACCAAGTGCATCAAGTACCTGCTCTTCGGCTTCAACTTCGTCTTCTGGGTGAGTGAGCGGGGCCGCCGCGCGCTCCTCTCGGGGGGCACCAGCCTGCCGCCCCCGCGGACCCTCCCCGTTGTCCGGGGTGTCGGTAACTGGCACGGCCCGTCGGGTCTGCTCGGGGCGGAGGAGAAAGGGCTGCTCGGCGGGGTCCGGAGGCGCCCGGGGCGAGCACGTTTGTTGGGGGGCTCTCTGAAGCCGGGCAGGCGAGGGGGCGCGGAGGGGGGGGACCCCCGGTGAGCTGGGGCGTGGGGACCAGCCCCCGGCTGCCCCTCCGGGTGCAGAGGGTGGGAGGAAACGGAGCTCCCCTCTCCTGGGAACTCAAGTCCGGGGCCAAAGAGGACCTTGGCGGGCAGCGCAGGCGGCGCCCGGGGTGGGGTCGCAGAGCCGCGAGAGGGGCGGACGCGGGCTGTGGGCACCTCAGGGGTCTCGGGTGGCACAGGAACGCCCCGCCGCGGGCTGTGGGCACCTTCACACGGGGGAGGAGAGGAGGGACGCGGGGCTGTCGGTGGCGGGAACCCCGTCCTAAAGTTGGAGTCCGGACACCCCACCCCACCCTCCACCCTCCAAGAGGAACCTTCGGCCGCCCCACCACTACCCCACAACCATTCTCCAACTTTTCGGTTCTGAGCCGCCGTGAGAAAGGCCAGGCTCCCTTGAAACTACCTGAAAGACTAGCTAGTCTTGATTCCCTCCCCCCTTCCCCCCCAGGGTGATAAGTATCTGACTGGGGAGAATTCTGGGAGAGGTGGGGAGAGGAGAGGCAGAAGCCCTCGGGCACTTTTAGTGGGGCGAGCCTCCTGTGGAGTCTTGAGTTTCTCCATTTCCGGGAGAGATCAGGTGCGGGCCCAAGGTCTCCGCCTTCTCTCCCCGCCCCTCATCCCCACCCTGCTTTCCCCCTTCCCAGGCCCCTGGGCGGCCAGGTGGGGCCTCGGGAGCGCACTGGGGCTGGGCCTGCCGCTCCCTGACTCCCGCGCCGGCTGCCCTCGGGGAAGCCCGAGGGAGGCAACGGAAAAAGGGAGTGTCTCCTCCTCACCTTCCCTTGGGGGATTAAGGGGCCACCCAGAGACCTAAACTGGAAGAGGGGGGAAATAGGTTCTGAAGGCCGCATCCTGTGCCCACAGGTGCACAGTATTGGCTCCTCTGCAGCCAAGAGTTTGAGAGGCAGCCCCTGTGCCACTCTCCAGAGAGATCCTGTGAATACAGGGGCGTGCCTCTGGAGGCTTAAACAAAACAAAATGTACTTATTCCCCCTGGAAACTGCCCACGGGGGTTCCCATGAACCGGGGACAAATCCCCTGAGGTTTAATTCTCTCTCCGGAGCTGACCAGGTAAGAGAGTGAACTGTCCTTGCAAGAGCCGCCACATCCGCCCAACCTTTGAACCAGGAGGTCACAGTTGGATTCCCGGTCAGGGGCCTTGGGTTCCCAGTAGGGGGCATCAATGATTCTCTCTCATCGTTGTTTCTGTCTCTCCTTCTCCCTTCCTCTCTGAAATCTATAGAAATATATTTCCAAGTCACCACATCCAACACATGCACTAGTGTGGATGGCACATAGGTATGCCCAACCCTTGGTCATTAAGGAGACCCTCCTGCAGTGGGCACCTCCCCTTCTTGGCGTTCCCAGCAGCCAGCCAGCTAGCTGCCAGGCTTGGCTCCCTCCTCTCACCAACTCCTGGCACCAAAAAAGAATGTCAGGAGGCGGGCCGGCCCAACCCCACCCTTGTCCTCTAGGGAGTTTTCCTCTCTGCTGCCTAGCACAGCCTCTCCTCTCCCAGTCTGCTGGTTAGTCCTTAGCCACTAGCCTAGGCTGCGTCAGGGTTTGGGGGGGACCACTGACTACATGTTCCTCCGCACCCCCTCTGTACCCCCAGGAGCCTAATTGGGGGGTGAGGGGCTCCCAGGGCCACTCATATCTGCTCAGCCTCTTCCTGTCTCCAGCCTGCCACCCCACCCATATTCAGAGCTGCCCCTGCCTGGGCCGCTATGTCCTCTGAAACAGAAATTACTCTCTCCGGTGATGTTTGGGTTTAGAACTAGGAATGAGATTATCCAGACCAGTCCTCTTATCTACAGGGAGAAAGCAGAGAACCCGAGAGGGGGTGATTTGCCCAGGACCTCAGAGGCAACCAGTCCTACAACCCCTGGGTCCCTTCCTCCAGCCCCATGCTTCCGTCTCCATCACAAAACCAGCAAGGGGGACCTGGTCATAGGCTGGGGCAGAAGGAGGGGGCAGGTTCAGGATAAGCTTATGTTTTTCTGAATTTACTGTTTGGTAGTATCAAGGGCCCCGTAGAGATGAAGTCCTCATCCCCAGGAGATGATGGAGTAAGGGACACTGCGATTCACTTGTGAAGCACTTTATAGTCTGCAAGTTCAAGCTGTCTTATAGTTCAAGCTAGAGCAGGAAGCATTATCCCCATTTTACTGATGGGCAGATGAGCAGGAAACTAGTTCCCAGAAAGGTTAAGTGACATATTTAGGGTCATGTGGCAGGACAGCGCCAGAAGGCAGTTTGAAAGCAGATCCAGTTGGCTTCAGGTCCAGTGCACTCTCCATCCCAACCTAGTGGGAGTGGAAGAAGGGTAGCAACGAGCTCTTAGACATCTTTTAAGGGAACCTGTGGTGGAAGGGAACTGCTTGGATTGTTATTCAGCACTTTTCTTTCTCTCTTGAGAGAAGGAATTTATAAACTTGGAATTGAGACCTGATGTGGGCCTTGGAAGTGGGAGTTTTGAGACCAGGGTGCCAACCAGCACCTACTGAACAGAGGCTGCTAAGGAAGGTGATGTAGCAGGGGTTCAGAGAAAAGAAGCTCTCAGTGGCAGTGGAATAATCAGGGCGGGGTAGGCATGGGGGGGGGTGCCTCTTCCCTGGTCCCCACTTTCATCCGTGTGGGACCCTCAGTGACTGCCTGTGCTGCCAGCCCTCCCCCAAGCAGGCCCTCTGATGCCCACAGCCCAAGCAGCAATCAGTCTAGTCTGTCCTTCCAGGACCCCTGGAACCCTAACTTCCCAGCTCTATTTCATTTGTTTCTCCACTTCCTTCAGACCTCTCTGTCTACCCATCCCCCAAAAAAGGTTGTAAGGGAAAACATGTTACTGTGAGAATAGTGAACTCTCAAACTATAAGGGGGGAACCAAGGCCAGGGTCAGGCCAGGAACCTGTCTTCCTGGTGTATTCCACACCCCCTCCCTCCAAATCCTAAGCCTGCATTGAGAAGGCTCAGTTCCTATCTCACACCTCCCTCTGCCCCTTAGTTCACTGCCTTGCACTTCTTATCCATCCTCATTGGTGGGACTAGCTGGGGCTTGGTGCCCCCTTGGACCTAACGGAGGCTTCTGAGAAGCATGAGCAAAGACCGGATGGAAATTCAGAGATTGGTGTTAGTCCAGCTGCGTCCCTCACATACTTTGAAGTCTTGGGCAGGTCATTTCTGTGCCCCAGGCCTCCGTTCCCTAAACTGTAAAACCAATAGGTTGGAGCAAATGGTCTTAAACTCAATCTGTGAAATCAACCCCTTCTCCACTGCCTAAAGCAAGAGGACTTTCCCACACAACCCCACATAGAGTCAGGCAGTGGGATGTACTATGAGTATTGTTTCATGTCCTCAGAGCCAGGGACCTTTACCTCTGGGGCCTGATTCTTACGTCTCTTTCCTGTTAACCTCATAGTTCCCTCTGGTCCCCCCGAGTGGGGTCTCTCTGTTTGGGGTTTTCTGTTTCCGCCGCCCTCAGCCATGGTGATAGTACAGGCTAGCGGTTGGAGCACCAGCTCTGGATTGGATTTACCCATCACCAGATGGAGCTGGTGCCTGCCCCTTAGGGGAGGGGTGAAATAAGAATAAGAGAATGCGGGTGATGCTCTTAGCACTGGAGGCAGAGCAAACTTCCTGTAGTTATTGTTGCTCACAGTGGAAAGTAGATTGAGGCGATGGGGAAGGTGGAAGCAATTTCCTAAAAAAAAAAAAAAAGTGTGGAAGAGCAGATCACAGCTTAGCCCGGAGCACGCACTCAAGCACTCAATCCAATCCACACTCTGCCCGCTCTGGGTTGGGCGCTGACTCCATTTCATATGCGTTTGGGGAGAGGCAGGAATGTGGGGGTGTGGGGAGGGTGGTGTCCCACTTCTGAAAATAAAACTAGAGGCAGAGACTCTGGGTCTGGGCAGGGTGTGGACTAGTGGGCTTGGGGGTGGCAAAGCCCCTCCCAACCAACCTGCCACTTTTCCCAGAAACTGTGGCCTTCGTTGTTGGGCTGAACCGGCAGCCGGGGCGGCGAAGTGAAATGGCTTCCTGAGTTTGGCACTGGGACAGGACAGCCGAGCTCTGGAAGGCCGGCTGTGTTTGTACTGAGGCTGGCAGCTTTGGGGAGAGGTGAGGTGAGGCCAGGTGCCCGCATCTGCTGAGGAAAATCAGACTTCTCCCCAGCCCAGGATCTCGACGGCTCCCCCCACTTTGTCACAATAAAGAATCCAACTCCTGAGTTTTAGGGGGTTGGTCGGGGGAGGATTCCTCTATACATACAGGCTCTACGACCCTTTCTTTTCCAAGTGGCCCATGGGCACCGTTCCAGACCTTACTCTTTTGTACTCAAAGGAAGCGGCTGCTGTTTTAAGATCCAAATTGGGAGCTGCTTCGATAGCAGCCCTATTGAGGGCCACTCTGGCCAGAGCACCTCCTCTGCAGCAGACTCCTGTGTGGCCATGGACCACAGACCAGCCTTCTCACGTCCTCCTGTGCGTGGAATGGGAGTCTTCCTTCTTGTACACAGAGCCTTGCGTCCGGGTTTGATTTGTCTCTTTGTTTTCCCCGTTCCCTTTCACAAGGAGGTGTGGCTTTTGGAATGGGTCGCACAGTCTGGAACTTAATCATACCTTAGACTTACAAAAACACCTTTTTTTTTTCTTTTTTTTTTTCTTTTTTTTTTTCTTTTTTTTTTTTCTAAAGAACACAAACCCTGACAGCCTTTCTCGGTGTGGCCTTTCTCGGTGTGTCGGCTGGGAG